GATAACATCGTTTTCTATATTATCATAACGAATTCGGGGCTCGGGGCTCAGGGGAGACCGACGACGTGGATCAGGAACATACTCTGCTGCCAGACGGTGACGCGGCCGCGGCATCACGACAGCTTAGCCGCGCCGGATTGAAATGTGCTGGCGGTCACGGTTCTCTTCAAGTCTTGTGAACGCCCCACAATGGTGCGCAATTCGAGTCGATTGTCAGCATATTCGAATTCAGTCTACTTCTCCATTGTTGTGCTGATAATTTCCCGGTCAAGTATCCCAGCATTACGGACGCCACCGTGGTCGGACGGCCTGCGAATGCGTTTCCCAAATTCTGCTAATGGATAGCGGAAAAACAGCGCGATGGCCGTGGTGCCGCTTCTTTTCTGCGTAAAAATCTCGCTGACCTCGCCCATAAGGAGACACTGTTTCTGGTCGCTGGAATGGCTTGTAGAGCATGCGACGGGTGACCGGTGCACTCGCTTAGTAGAGCATACCTTACGTGTCGAGCACAGGATATCACGCACGGACTTCTTGGTTGTTTCCGCCCTGAGTTAATATGGAGTGCAGCTCGTTGTACAAAAGGCGTGGTTTAGGAAGTCGCCGTTTTCACACCAAACGAATTTCCCCCCAAATCCACGTTGTCTCCAGCTGCAGCCTGGATTCCATGACAAGCAGCCCGTTGTTATATGTCGGCGAGCTGACGACAGCGCAAGTTGTCGCTGCGGCTGTTTTCGTATGGCTGTTCATACGCCACTTGAGCGCGAAGAACGTATGTCCTTAACGCCATTCCACACCTCAGCCACGATACCATTAACTGTAGCTTCGTCATATTCCGACCGAAGGCGGGCCCTCTTTGCCGATTCTGTCATTCATCGGGCTTTACAACTTCCTCGCCCATGGAAGAGAGATCATACAGCAGGGTTATCAGCAGGTATGTTTGTTGAATCCTCTCCCAGTAGGTGTGCTTACCATGTCATACTATAGCACAAGGGCAGGGCTTTCAAGGTCGCTATGGTGGATCGCTGGCTTGTTGTACTCTCTGGTAAGAAGTTGGTCGATGAGCTGCAGAAGATGCCGGACGACACAGTGTCATCCGCTACTACAGAGGTGCGCGTCCTTCAGCTAGATTGGCACGGGGTTGATGCGATTACATTCCTTTGCTCAACGCCAGGTTCTCGAGATGCCTAACGTGTTCGCATCTAACTGGCACAAAGACCCTGTCCATGTGCCGATACTGCGAAATCTCACGCGTAGTCTCGCATTGGTATTCGAAGACATGTTCGATGAGCTCAGCATAGCCTTCCGAGAGCACATTCCTGCGAACAGCGACCGTGAGTTGGGGTAACCTGAGATATGGGAGTGCCAAGGTTGGCTGATATTTCTGCTAGGTTGGCTTCCAGTCCATGCTTATCCTGTTATCAGCACTATCGTTACACGTGCTGCGAACCGCGTTTTTGTTGGCATGCCCATTTGTAGGTTCAAATGCAGGGTTTTTCAGGGCATAGGCTCACTGTAGGCATTGCGCTCAGGTCGAGACAGTGGTTATGTACACATGATGGTACACTTCGAAGAAGACGTGAGCAAAGCTGTGAAGCTCCTCACAATATTACCCGGCTTTATGAAGCGCGCCGCCGGCAGAAATGCCACGGTCATCGACAAACGCATCCAGCAGTGCCTCGACTACTTGCGTCCGGTTATCGACGACCGGATGGCTATGATGGCTGTGTTTGGAAAGGACTGGGCAGACAAGCCGGTGTGTTACTTTGGCGGTGCAGTTCTAGCCTATTTCTGACCTGAGCACAGAATGATTTGTTGCAGTGGATTATCAACGAAGTTGTGGCTCGAAATCAAGGACCAGAAGAGGTCGCGCGCATAGTACTGTTCATTAACTTTGGGGCAATTGGGACGACCTCGGCTGTAAGCCTTCAGTATTATAGGGCCAGAAGTAGTAACAAGGTGTATTCTAGGCTATACTTCATGCCTTGTACGACATCTCTATGCGCCCCGAGCTCGCCGACACGCTACGGGAAGAGGTGGAGGCAGCTGTGGCAGAAGAAGGCTGGACGAAGGCCGCAATAAACAAGATGCGCAAGCTCGACAGCTTCCTGCGCGAGTGCGAGCGGCATAACGGCCCGACCATTGGTGCGTGCTGTTCTCCCAATTGCTTATTTTACTGCTGACAGCTCGTAGTGTCGATGTTCCGCAACATCCTGCAGCCGGTGACGCTCTCGGATGGAACGTTCCTTCCCAAGGGTGCGACGGTCGTCACGCCGACATTTGCGACGCATTTCGATGAGGAGAACTATCCGAACGCGACCCTGTTCGACCCGTTACGGTCTTATAAGAGCGACAAATCCGTGCAGCCGCAGCTGATCACCACTTCTGCAGACTACGTAACGTTCGGGCATGGCAAGCACGCTTGGTATGTTGGCGTACCCTGTCGCACTCTCATCCAGTATGATTAATTGCCGCACGCACCAGCCCTGGCCGGTTCTTCGCCTCCAACGAGCTTAAAGCTATGCTAGCATATATCGTCGTAAACTACGACGTCAAACCCGAATACGAAGGCGTTCGCCCCGAGAATCTACGGAGGGGTCTAACCAATGAGCCGAACAATACCGCACGAGTGCTGTTCAGGGGGAGGCAGGTCGACTAGAAGACGCAGGAGGGAACCATGAGGTACAAGATATCGCACGGGGTTACTATTCTGGGACGGCGCTAGAACAACCTAAACTCTTACTATTTTTTCGAGTCAGCTGCAAGTTAACATTGGGGAAGAGATGCTAGTAGCGTCAGAGAGCTGCCTCTGTGAACAAGGAAATAATGTTCTCAGCTGACGAATGGACTGGGCACTTACGAAGCCACGGGAGTACCTGCCGACGGATAAGTTCGCTCGTTGTGGAAGAGTGCGAGTCTACTGCGCAGCATGACCTTCACGCCCATCTGATGATATAAAACAGGCTACAGACGCATTCTCTCGAGCCATATATACAAATGATACACAGTCTGAGAGATACTTGACCTCAAGTGAAGCGGGGTCGTCTATTACTGCTTGGAGCCATCGCTGGACGAAGCTGATTCTTCATCGGTGTGCTTGCACCCTGACCGGGTCAGCTCACGCACTGACTGCAGCGAGGACCGCGCGGCGGAAGGCACCCACATGCGCCCGCTGCTCTCCCGGATCCTGCTAGTCTGACCAATCGAAGGCCCCCGCGGTAAGCACGGCCAAGTTTGATCTTGGGGCAGTTTACCTAGGTTTATTCGGAGGCGAGATCTCTTCGAAGATGGCGGCATAGCACTGGAGCCCAGGACGCTGCCGAGGCAGACTGCAGGTCATTCGCGCCGCTCCTGGACATCGCTCGTTCAGCCCGCTCATGCCTATGTCGTAAGACAGAGTCGCCCTGCGCGTCGCGTCGTCCTATGCCGGTACAAAATGTGCAGTGCCAGCTCGAATATTTTTTGAAGCCATCGGAGAGCGGCGCCCGGCATTCGTATCCGAGTTGTCGTCGACTCTCATAATGACCGGGTCGGTGCACGCGCGATTCGACGGGCAGCGCATGCCATGGGGCGTCAGCTTGGAGAGATGGCCGTGGGACGCTAGCAAAGTGAGATCGAGCTTCAAGAGCTGAGCGTGGGGAGTAACTCGAAGGTAGCGGCGGTGCTGGATCGCGCGCGCATCACCGTACACCGACAGCCGATTTATCCTCACCGGCGTCACGTGGGCCGCAGCCGCGGGGAGCAGAGCCCATCTCCGCCGCCGCGCTGTGACGATCGCGGCAGGAACCCACGTCGGGAACGGGCAGCTCGACACCGTGAGGTTCTCGGCCATGTTCCACGCGTCTGGGCCGTGGCGGTCGACGCCTCGGTAATCCTCGTCCTCCTCGTCCTCCTCGAGCACGAACGACGGCTCGACGGCCCAGTCGTCGAAGCACAAGGCCAAGTAGCCTGTGGAAGCAGGCGGCGATATCTCGTCTGGAGGACAGCTTGGGACGACCTTGACGAAGCTCCACGGCTGACGGAGCTTTGATCGCGAGCGCACGAGGACGCAATGAGCCATCGAGCGGCTCGCGAAAGGGCAC